TATACAATTTAAGCACCTAAATAACCTCTATATAACAATAGTTTGACTTTACACCAATATAGCAATAGAAGTTTTACAAAATAAAACAAATAAAAATAAATTAACAAAAAGGTAAAAGAAAAATAAGCAACGCATCATTCAATATTAAATAAGATATTAATTCCTTAGTTTACTCCAATTCAGTTACCTTCCACAAATATTCATTACTTAATATTTCTCTCTCATATCTCACAACAACGTATTGTAACCAAAAACAAAATCTTTATCTCCTGTTTAAGGTCGCTTCAATGGTTGAAAGCAAAAACGTGTCCATTTTAATTCAGCACGACAAATATGAGATATCACCGGTATGTATCATTTTTTTTAAATTACTTTCGGTTTATTTTTGTAAGATTATATAGTTTAATTTTTCAAAAGAAAAGAGCAACTGTTTCAGTGGATGAAAAATCTCTTTTTAAGGCTTTTTTGATGTGGTTAATCATGAAAACTTTATTATTTGTAAATTGTTTTGATGAATCATTCATGGAACTAATGTTATTTGTATAATTATTAAAGCGAACATTTCGTATGGTTTGTAGATTATGGTATTATGAATTGTAGAATTGCAAATATAATCAAAACCAAGATTAACACCTAATATAACTCGAATTCTATAAATTTACCACTGTTTAATGACAATATTAATATGGAAATCAATGTTAAATAGTAGTGTACTCACTTTTTAATTAATTTGGTTATCCAAAATAATTTGATAAAATTCTTGGTAAGATCATGGTGTAATATTGGTTTAAAATATGTATTATTATTTATCATATTAAATTATACACCATAATGTACACCATTCCAGTACACTATAATTAATGTGTAAATTTTAAAAAATAGATATTATATGATGGTATTATGCATTTAGTTGATTGTTTAATTAAATTTATTATATAAATAAATTAGTTACTTTTGGTTAGTTTGTGGTGTAAATATTTGGTGTATATCATACATTATATATTAGATTGAAATGTACACCAAATTGTCACCATAATGTATACCTTAATCATATAATCATGGTATTATGCACCGTTGGATTGTAACATATAATCATGTTCAACTTTATCAATCTTCATAAATCAATGTTATATATATATAGTTGGTTACAAGTTGGTGTTCGAATTTCATTATAAGAATAATGAAGTGGACACCAATTTTTAACCATATTATACACCATTTCGTATATAACTTTTTTTTGGTGATGTAAAAAAAATATGATTGTGTATTTCAAATTTGATTGTTATAACGGTTGTTTAGTAGGTTCTTTAATTTTTTTTAAAATGTATTGCATGAAGGTATGTGGATTTCAAGATTGAAGGAGTGATATGTGATGTAAATACCATTTTTAAAATAAAAAAAAAAAAACCAAAACTTGTACCAAATATCCATTTGAGGATTATCATTGCTGAGTTAATTTTTTATTTTTATTTTTATAACACTTTTTTTTCATAATCTAATTGAATGTTATTAGCGGATTTGAATTTTATTGATTGTTTATTAAACATTTTTTCCAGAATCATATTTAATCATATGATGTAATTAGTTCTATTATTTATGTTGGTTTTCCTTGTGATATTAAATGTCATTTGAAAAAAAAAAAAGGCACGAAATATCAACTAAATTTGTATATTATATGGGATAGAATTTAATAATTGTTGGTATATTATATGGAACAATTTTGATATGGGGCAGAATTCAATAATTGTTGGTATATTATATAGTATAAATGTTAGTATTATTATATGGTACATTTTTTATATTATAAATTTTTAATTTTATTCGTAAATAGTGTCATATAGTTTTAATTTAATTTCAAGCTCTATACCACAATGTATACCGTTTTAAAGAATCAAATTATATACTAGTAAAATTGTCTTTACAAATAAAAAAATATATATTGAAATCATATTGTACATCAATTGACACCATAATAAGATTTCATATTTTCCTTTTTTACAATATTACCTAAAAGAATTCTATTATTGGTATAAAAATTAGTATGCATAAATAATTATTGTGGTATGCAAATGGTTATTATTAGGGTATGCAAATGGTTTTTTTATTACTTTGCATACATTGGTACTTATATAATGGAACTTAAATTGATTTTTTTTTTTATAAAAGAATTGAAACGAAAATGGAGAGAGAAGAACAAATTCAAGAGTAATTGTATCAAATAAGGAATGTGTTAAATGGTAGAAATTCTATAATTAGGCAATAAATTCTCCCCCAAAAAATCAGCACTAGAATTGAAAAAATCAACCAAAAAGATGAGGGAAAGAAACGTGCATCCTAAAAAATAGGATCTTTAAGTAAAAAAAATCATATTCAACTATAATTGTATTGAGAATTCCAAAGTAAACACGATATGTCAAAAATTGTAATGTACACCAAATTGTCACCATAATGTATACAATATTAAAAAACTTATATCCAAAAAAACACGTTTATGTCATTCCATATCCTAACTTCCAATATATATATATATATATATATATATATATATATATACCAAGAAAAACAACATGTTTATACTATTCTATTTCATAATTTTACCACCATATATATCAATTTTGCACTTAAATAATATCACGAAAAACAAGAGGTTTATACCATTCTATATCATATATTTTTTTTTATCATTATATTATTCTAAAAGTAAAAAAAAAAAAACGTAATTGAAGAGAAAGAAAAAATATTTTTAGAAGTGTAATTGTATTTTAAGTAAGAAAGAGAAACAAAAAAGGCAAAAATAATGTAACCAATTATAGTTGTGATTGAAAATAAAAAAAGTAAAAATAATAAATTATGAAACACATAAAATCAGCCCACTAAGCTAAAGAATAGGTAAAAAAATCGTATAAAGATATGTATATTTATTAAGTTGTCAGGTTTGTAATTAAAATGATAATGTTGTAAATAAAAAGAGTAAATTAACATTATGTAAATTAAAGTCTTAAATTGAATATTCTAGTAATTTTTCCTTTTTTAAAAAAAAATATTATTTTATCCACTTTAACATCTTTTGTATTTTGTTAAAAATAAGAATTAATAGTGAAAAGTGTTGAACAAAGTGAATTACAAATTCTTTTTTATTTCTTTTTAAATTTTAGTTTCAAGCATTACTATAAGCATATTAAAATGAGGTATACCAAGTCATCAACTTCTTGAGTCAATTTTATAGTTCTAACTTTTATCTTTATTTAATATTTATCAACCTATTACTTATAGCATTATGTTAACAATCCATATAATAATTGCCTCACTTAAATGATGTTTTTCAATGTTGAGTTGATAAAATCTTACATAAGACTAGTAAACAATATTAAGTACTAATAATTTTCATCTAAATAGTGTAAAATAAATAAATTATGAATAAATATGTATGTGAAGTATATTTATGTTTTAGGCCACAAATTGAAATTTCAATTCTAGGCCCCCAATTACGTTAAGTCACCCCTGCTTCATATTGTGACAAAAGTTGGTAGAATTGGCGTTTGGTATTCTATTGATACTTTCTATATCTGTATAATATTATCTTCACACGAAAATATTATCCCTACATAGAAATATATTTGTCATGTCAAAATCATTTAGTGGTGTCTTAGCAGTTCACCATCTCTCTGGTATACTGTTAACATGGGATTTGTCGATCGAGAGCGTTACATATTTATTATTATTATTATTTTATGTTAAATTTTTGGTTGCTTGCAGGGCCTTTTAATAGTTATGAATCCAAAATTTTGTACAAGGCCTTTGGCACAAATTGAAAAAACCAAAACAAATGAAAATTAAGGTAGAATCTAGAAGATCCGACCCAACAATTATCAGCTTCTTTGACTATATATATATTTTTTTTTTGTCCATCCATCACATTTCGTCTTTATGGCAGTTGCCTGTTGCTGGCCTAGCACCAGGCTAATGTTCGGTAGGTTCTACGTGATCATTGATATCATTAGATTATATGTTATTTATATAACTATATAATTTAGTATGATATTATATTGTTATTGAATATCAAAAAATTTAAAATGTATACCATATACCATACAAGTACCATAATACCAAAATCACAGTATTAAAAATTTAAATATAAATAATAATTTGGTATATACCATACCATGTCTACCTCTACCCGTCACTGCTTTTTTTGGTAAAGGGGTTGTGTCCCATGGCTCTCGTGTTTGTTTAGTTGCTTTATATGTCTCTCTGAAAAAGTCGATGGTAAAAAGTTAAAATTTTTGGATTAGTTTAATCTCTTTGTTTAAGCATTATAGCAAGTTGTTAACCAATATAATGACATTTGTCTAACAAATTTGCCAGCCTTTTTAAACAGTTGAGTAATCTTGAGGACCACATGAACAATAATTTAGGATTTAATATTAGAAAACTCCTCCTGATTCGATTATAACACTTGTGAAGATAATGACGATAACAACAGAGTTTCAATCTGAAGTCAACTCATAATAATTCATTAACATTGCGGTGTGATATCAATTTTTACAACTGATTTTAGAACATACATGATAAAATTACAAGCAAATATTACAAAGAGGATGATAAATAGAACCAACTGGTAAAAAGAAACATGTGGTAACAAGAAATTACTGGTAATTCTGTTGGCAGAGTTGGAATTGAAGAGAATGGCAGAGCTCACTTCCAGCACAATCACAGCTCAATTTCACTGAACGAGGGATAACAAAAGCATGTGAGCCATTCCCTTACAACCCAACATTTTATTATTGTAATTAATGCAGCAAACATGTCTCGTGCACCATATACATTTATTAACTCACAAAATCAAAGGACAAGAATTGAGGATAATTAATAAACAACAAATGTGTAAGAGCTAAGAACTATCCAACCAGTCTGCTGGATCAGTGCCATGAATACTGGATCACCAGCTGGATACTGGATACTACCTCCAGTTTCCCCTTAATAAAAGATTTCTTGTTTTCTTTCGCCAACAGACTAATAGCTGGAAGCAGAGGTAGTAAAGAGAACAAACTTACCAGATAAATATAAGGTCAAGAGTTTTTAAGTGTGTCACGCTTGGACGGCATAGTCTATACCATTGCGCTTACGTTTGTTGGATCTTGAAAAGCAGCATATCTGAGCCCATGATTTCTTCTGCTTAACTGGCTGTGGCTTCGCATCCCTCTTTTCAACAAGATCAGCCATATGCTGCACAACAGCCTGATGAGCAAAATAAACGTTCATGAGTCATCTATCAAAACTAAAACAAACAATTAAAAATTCAGAGAGCATAATGATAGTATAGTAAAAATAAAACTCAAACACACCTGTGCTCCCATCTCGATAATGTTTCCTGGTGGCACTTCAAGTGGATTTCCTTCTGTCTTTAGTACACGCAAATGCGAAAGCATCCTAAATGAATCTGGTAGAATTCGTATCTGGTTGTTACTCATATCCAGCTCCTCAAGCATCTCAAGGTTTCCTATGGATCTAGGGAGTGATTGCAGGTCCGCAAAGTTGTTGCTAATGTTCAGTTTTACGAGTGTAGTGGCAAAGCACAAGCTCTCAGGCACTGACTCAAGCTCATTGAAACTAACATTGAGCTCTTTCAAACTTGTTAAGGATGCCATAGTTGTAGGCAATTGCCTGATGTTATTGTACCGCACGGATAGAATCTCCAAAGAACCCATTCGCCCCAAGGCTTCAGGAAGAGCTTTAAGACGGTTATAGTCAGCACGGAGCTCTTTCAGCGAAGTACATTGACCAATAGTGTGAGGAAGTTCCTCTAGGTCATTAGTCTCAACGATCAGTTTTTTGAGACTGACAAGGGATCCCACTGCCTCGGGGAGTACAGATAGCATGTTAGAGCTTAGATCGACTTCCTCAAGGTGAGTTAACCTCGCTAAAGTCAAAGGCAACGTCTTCAGGTTATTGCCATTTAGATCAAGATAGACCAAGTTAAGCAAATCTCCTATTGAATCAGGAAGTTCAACAATTCTATTTCCATGCAAATCTAGTTTTTGCAACGATGAAAGATCCCCGATGGTAGTTGGCAGCACAGCAATTCGATTCTCAGACAAATCCAAAGTCACCAAATTTGATAGCTTCCCAAGTGAATCTGGAATCCATTCTAATTGGTCTGACAGTTTTCTTCGAAGAATTAGCTCCTTGGTTCCTTTTTTGGCTGAAACTTCTATCAAACTAGCAAGCTTTATCAAGCTCATTTTTTCATCATTTTGACCTACAGATAAATGGCTTCTCCATTAAACTAATAATTTTCATATTATAGGAAACAAATTTTATCCAATTAAGCTAACAAAGTATAAAAAAACACATTGGTCACAAACAATATGTTACAGGAAATAGATTAAACTTACCAGTACTACGCTTCAAAGTGGTATCGACAATCTGGGGAGCAGAAGAAGCGTTCCCAGATCGAAGCCCAACACCGATTCCATCCATTTGAAACGCAGTTGTCGGCTTCTTCAAGTAACTGTCGTCTCTTGTAACAAGTTCAGACACTTTAACAGGCTCTTTCTCACTATAAAAGCTCGACGAAGACATAGTCGTAGTAGTTGCCGGAGAATTGAAACTGCTACCGTTGAAGGAAGATGAATTCGCCACAGACAAATTGCTGGAATACCTTGAAGAAGCTGAAGAAGTATTATTAGCTTGAGGATTAGATGACAAGCATTTCGAAGCTCTTTGAATCAATTCATCGAACAGGTAATGAACATTTTCGAGATCTAACAATTTTAATGCCTCTCTCTTCTGTTCTTTACTCTGAAAATAAACTAAATTCCTCTGCATCTCTTGCAATATTTTGAATACCTCTTCTGGTACATCTTTTCTTTTGTTTTGCCGCGCAATTGTCTCTAACTTCATTTGTTCCTCCTTCTCCATATTCATAATTAAAACTTTTGCTGCTTCCACTTCATCTATCCCTGGCCTTATTGGTAGAGATTTGTTAAGCCTCATCATCTCTTCCACAATCTCGTCAACAGACATTGCGGAGGATCCCATTTCACCCCCAATTTCGTCGGAAAAAAAAAACACACACACACAGCTACACACAGAAACCACCCACAGTATCCAGATTTGAATACACTTTTTTTGGGGGTTAGTTTCCAAGAGTCCTAGATAAAAAAAACGAAAAATATTGAGAAAGCCATAATTGAGTTCTTCTTCTGTACAACTTCTAGAAGCGCCAATCAATATTGACAAGAATACAAACGTTAATCCAATCAAATCAAATCAAAATAATAGTAGTTAAGAACAAAACTTTACTTGTTTTTCGTGTTTTATACAGTGAAAAACGAGTGTTTATGGAAACAGGGCAGCATAAAAAAAAAGATGAGAAAAGCAAACCCCACTTAGGACTCAGGAACAGAACTCAGTTATACTATTCACTGACATTTTTTCTTTAACAAGAAACTGGAGCTATAAGAAGAAGAGTTGTGTGAGAGAGAAAATGGAGAGTTTTTGGTTTGATGGAAAATCCAACCATAACCATCGAAGGGGTTACAATTTATTTATACAAAAAAAAAAGTCTCCACAGCTGTTACCTGTTGTTGCTAGAAATGGTAGGTTGGTGTATTATTAGCACTTGCCAGTGTGAGGAATGAATTTATCATAACATAATAAATCCTTTGTTTATATATAATATATAAAATTGTAAATCGCAATTCTTAATATTTATGAAAGTTTACGTAATTTGAATTTTAATAAAATAAAAAATGCAATAGCATAAATTGGGATGATAAATTCATAGAAAAGAAGCAAACAGTGGACTTGATTATGACTTATCGGTTATTAACGACTGTGTCGATCAGTTTGTTTTTATATTTTGATTTTTGGTCCACCATCTAAATGCCAACAACGGAAGAATATTTTTATATATATATGGCATCAAATATTATTATTTTTATTCTATATTAGTTGATCATCAATTAAATATTTTCTGTATTACTCTCGCAATTAATTTTTAGAAAGTATTTATATTTATTTATAAAATTTTCAAGATATTTTGTAAAAGATGAATTGGTAAATTATTTTTTAATTTTGATTTCTTAATATTTTGTAAAAAAACAATCAATTAATATAGGATGGAGGAGTATTATTTTGATAGTTAAAGTTACTAGTATTTTCAATACCGACAAACATTTGAGTGGTATTTAAGTGAAATAATTATTTTCTTACTCATAAATTTTCAACTTCACAAAAAAATATTACCAAGTGATGTTTTATGGAATTAATTTTAGAGAAGTGCTAAATGACCAGAAAATATGGCTAGAATTTGGTCAGAAAATTAAAAAAAAAATTATAATCATTTTTTTATTTTAAATAAACTGATCTTTTTTCCATCTTTTTAGTTAAAATGTATTTAAGTTAAAAGGGTAAAAATATTTAAAAAGTTAAAATAACATAGAAAAAATATCATTCTGACCAAATTTTCTGGCCAAAAAGAATTGATCATGTAATTTATTCACTATAAATAGAAAAAGGTCTGATATTATCTTTTATGGGGAAAAGGATCTCAATTATCATTTTGTTTAATACTACTTTTTAATTGTGTAGTAGATATATGTCACGTGTACAAAATAAATATAAGAGGGTAAAAGTTTTACCTGCTACTTTTATAAAGATTTTTTATTTATTAATTAATTTATTCTTACACTAAATGAATTTTTTGAAATTTAAGTTAAAGTATCTTTAACCTAAATCGTTTTGTTAGTGATTCTTCAAGAATTCTTTTATTTATTTGAACATTGTATTTGTTTCCCTCTTTATTTCTTTATAAATATAGATTTTAGTTGTTGTGTTCTTATTTGAAGTTGTGAATGAAATCAATTTTCAAAATTTGAATATTTCACAATTTTTATTTATGCTTACTTTTTAGAATAATTTAAAATGTTAATTAAAATATAAATAAAACTGAAAGAGTATTATAATACATATAAATATTTTGAATTTGATATTATTTAGTATAAAAATATTATTTTTAAAGAAATAACAAGAAAAATGAGCTTGTATATGTGGTGGCATTTATTTATCATACCAATGAAAAGTAATGAAGATTGGAGGGGATTCTTTTCCCTTTTATTGGATAGAAGTAATTAAACTTTACCAAAAAAAAAAAAACACTCCTAATAAAGACACGTAATTTTACCCACCATAACAATAAAAGCACAAACAACTTTTTTCGAAATTAAACCAACTGAAGTTATCACTAATTCTAACAATAAATACTTCTTTTTAAAAATTTCGACCGAACATTATCCACGCTTATTTAATTGTTTTAAATTTGTATTTGTTTGTAAGGGAGATTATACTTTATACATTGATAAATTACAAAAAAAAATGAAATTATTTGAATCTTAAAATAGTGAGAGTATTAAAATGGGACATGTAGTAATTTGGTCTATTTTTTCTTATTTTCGGATAAATCATTAAGAAGAAGAATATTGTTGATCTCTCTCTCTCTCTCTCTCTCTCTATATATATATATATATATAAACTCTCACCAACAAAGTGATAATTTAGATAGCTATTTTAATTGTTGGAAAGTATTTTTGAGCAAAAAACGTAATGATAAAAATATTTTTGAACAAAAAACATAATGAAGAATCAAACTGATTCATTTTAAATAGTTCAAGATATATTTGACATTTTTCAATAAATAAATAAAAACTCGACATACACATATTTTTGACCAAGTCTAAGATCCTTATCAGAATCACAGGATCTTCAAGTTTACAATAAAGAATCACGAAATGATTCAAAGTCTCTTTCAATATTCATGGGTTCATAACTACCAAAGGCACTTTAAAATGCATATATTTCATGACACATTCTCTACCCATAATACTCACCACATATATAGATATATAGCAAATTACTTTCCACATCTTTTTGTATTTTAAATATTAAATTAGATAGAATTGTTTACTTCTAAATCAGTGGCTTAGAGTAGTGATTGATTGAATTTGTTAATAAGGTTTAAAGACACGCAACTTATATAATGACCAAGTAATAGGAATGTTATTGCTAAATAAGTGATGAATGAAAGCAATAAACAATAAAATAACTACCAACAAGGGTTGTGGTGGAGTGGTAAGTACTCATCAATCCTTAACTAAGAGGTCTCAGATTCGAGCCCCCTTAGGTACGAAGTCGCCTTTGTTAGGGACCGCTTTACCCCCAACGTGGGACTTCCTGGAGATGAAAGTGACTAATATTATTAGTAAACTTGAGAGCTCTAGTTACAAAATAATAATCAATGTGAAATCAAATTGTGATGGGATACAAATGAGAAGACTGGGTATTTAAAACAAAACAAAAAAACAAAAAAATAACTAATGAGATGAAAGTGACTAATATTATTAGTAAACCGGAGAGCTCTAGTTACAAAATAATAATCAATGTGTAATCAAATTGTGATGGGATACAAATGAGAAGACTGGGTATTTAAAACTATTATGGATTAAAAATGGTTTAACGAATATTTTATTTTTATTCTTAAAGACGCAACAATAAGCTACGATTGAAAATTCATTTTCACGTGTAGTAAATCAGAAAAAAGATCTTCATTTTCAACCCATCTTAGACATGTCTTCAACCTCGCTAACTATTTGTACTTTAATTGATACTATTTTTTGGGATCGAAATAATAACATGACATCATGTGAAAACTAACGATTACGAATTTTGGTGGTGATAAATTGAACGATAAAGAAACTATACTAAAAGAACAAGATATTTAACATAATTTGGTCAAGTGGTCTACATACGGAAAAAACTAATATAGAAAGCATAAAACCTATTAGAAGATTAATTTTCCCCTAAACAATACTCAATTCACTACAAGTAGGAGTATATCACAAGAGTGTAATTATTTGGGAAAAGGGTCTAAAAATTATTCTAACTTTGGTCGAAATTGTTGTTACGATACCAAACTTTGGAAAGGACCTTTTACCCCTGTACTATTTAATAGTGTGTTTTAAAGGTATATATGTGTCTGCGTGGACATCATAAATATTGCATCATTTTAAATAGTAATGTGTCCACGTGAGCGCACATATATACCTTCAAAATACACTATTAAATAGTGCATGGGGTAAAAGGTCCTCCATAAAGTTTGGTATCATAACAGCAATTTCGACCAAAGTTGAAGTATTTTTCAGACTCTTTTCCCAATATGCCAGGACGAATATGTCCACTCCCAGCCCACCCCTCTTTATTAAACCCTGCATGGAAATTAATTACTCAAAACAAGTCCTAAAATTTTTTTTGGAAAATTGTGCAACTATTAATTCAAATTAAATGTTATAGCTATAGTTTCATTTAATTCCAATATGCAGCAAACTTCTTGCCATTCGCCTCTCTCCCCTTTCTCTGGAATCTCGCTCGTCATTTCCCTCTTTTTCAGTCATCTCTCCCTCGCATCTCTCACTTTATACAAACATAAATGTATAATTTGTGTTTGTGTTTGTATAAAAAGAGAGAAACCGTATATACAAATACAAATACATATCTCTCTATTCTATACACTTATAATTATACAAATGCAAATCTTCTCCTGCACAGTTATATTTTGCCTTTCTCTCTCGGTTTATACAAATACAAATTATACAAAATACAATGTATAATTTGTATTTGTATAAAAGTGAGAGAGAGATTTGATATACAAATACAAATATTTTAACTCGATTCAACTGTATACGAATTCAAATTTAATGCAGATTTACAAACACAATCATTGATACATATACATAGTAGTTACATATATATAATTATCTAACCGATATACATATACAATTCACCTCTCTCCACTCTCTGTCCTTTCTCGCTCGTCTCTCTTCTCTCTCTCCCAATCTCGCTCACCACTCTAGCCTAACACAGAGAACATATACATATTGAAATACAATTTGCATGGACACAGACGAATTAGCATCTAAATCTGCTATTTGTAAAAACCAGATGTTCCATAGCAAACATAATTTGGCTGTGAAGGGCAAATAACAAAACTGTAGATATAGAGCGCT